AGTTTCAATGCCATATGGTAGAACTTTGGAACTGTTCTTTTTTTTTTTTTTTTTTTAACTCTACATGTATGAGTGTTATGCCTGCATGTAGGTAAGTGCACCCAGGTCGTGCAATGCCACGGAGTTTTTTGACAGGAGATCCCTGTAGCCCCAGCTGCCTAGAACTCACTATGTAGACCAGGCTAGCCTTGAACTCACAGAGATCCAGAGATCTGCCTGTCTCTGCCTCCCAAGTGCTAGGAGATTTAAAAGTGTGTGCCACCATGCCCAATACTTGGAACTGTTCTTTGCATATCAGTCTGCAAACACTGGTTAGGTAACCCACTCAATTATTTTTATCGTAGTTCAAAATGAAAGGGGAGCAATGAATGAATATCATCTAAAATCCACAAACAGTAAACACCATGAACTTGGAAGGTGGCTCTGGAATTTTAGGCATGTTGACCTCTGTGCATGCTGTTTGAATGTTAGCTATGACTTGATAACAGATTATCCCCAAGGCTAAACTATCTCACAATATCTGTGGGTCAGAAATCTAGGGTAGATTTGCTGGGTGGTGTGACTCAGGACTGTGATGCAAAGTGCTGGGGCAGGTTCTCTCAGAATGGCATCTCCAAAGGTAAGTATTTCTCTACTGGGAGCCAGATGTCATACCAGAGGTATCAGGAACGGAAGATGCAGGGCAAGGTGAGTCTTTGACTGCTCATCCAAGATGCTGGCCCTAAATTGTACTCTTCCAACAGAAGGCCCAAGCATGCAAACATCTTGCCGATAAATGTACAGTATGTTTTGAAAATGGAAATAACCACCCAACAGAACTTCTTTTCCTGTAGCTTTGCTCATTGTTATTACTAACAGCAAATCACAAGCAGGGTGGGGCTGAAAAGGTCTTAACCCCTAACCCTAGCCCTAGCCCCAACCCTTGACCCTAAACCCTAACCCTAAACTCTAACCCCTGACCTCGACTCCTGACCCAGACCCTAAACCTGAGTCCTACCTTCCGAAGACCTTAAATCCTGAACCTCCAATCCCTAAAATCAGAACAATGAACCCGTAATCCAATCCCCAAACCTTTAACAGGACCAAGGACATGCATATGTACACACATATATAATGAGACTGATAGGAAATTGCTCATGTGATTGAGGAAGCAAAGGGTCATACCATCTTCTGTCTGTATGTAGGAGACCAAGGGTGGCTGGTGAAAACCTGACAGATAATGATGGGTAGATTCTAGTTCAAGCCTGAAGGCCAGAACAGAGGGCACAGTGGGAAAAGACTGCCATCCCAGCTGTCATGCAGAAAGTGAACTGAGTGTTCCAGGCCCTTCAAATCAGGTTCTTAACAGATGGGATGAGGCTCTCCCATACTGGGGAAAACAGCTTTACTTAATTTACCAATTCAAATACCAGTCTATTCTAGAAATACCTTCATTGACACACCCAGAAACAACATTTAACCAGACATCTGGGCATCCTGGAAATGAGTTGACACACAAACCTACCAATACCATCAGGAACCTCCCAAAGTTTTCTTTCTAGCAGTTTATTTAACAGAATCCTGCTGTAATCTCAACCTGTCGGGTTGAGTGTTCTAGCTGGACAGGGTCAGTGTATCTTGTTTTTACTGTGCTCTCAGTGTCAATGACATGTCATGAAATGAATCTGTCAAATGAATGACCAATATCCTGGTTAAAGAAACCAATGTCGAGAGGACCATCAAACAGGCCCCAGCAACTGAAGTGAGCGGGTGCTGTGGGTGAAAGCTGGCACTCAATAGTAGTAGAGCAGTGAGTGGATTTGAGGGAGATGGGTGAGAACTGAACCATCAACATGGAAAGTGAGGGCTGCATTTGGTGGCAAGAGTTGTTGGTAGGAGTCATGAGAACTTGAAATCAATTTTCTTGTTACTTTTAGAAATTAAACAAGCAGCTCATGTAATCCTAGATATTATCCCAAATAAGGAATATCAAATCACTGTCCAAGATCTTATACTAGTAAGATCATCAAACAAAATTTTAATTCAGTCAGGAATGGGTCTTCTCTAGAATTCAGAATCTCTGAAAATACATCTAGTCTGGCAAAATTCTCTTAGGTTTATATTGAATTCATTTGTATACCTCCTGATTATTCCGAATACTAGCAGCTTTTGTTAAGTAGCTACCTTTGCTGAAAATCAAAAACTCTATTCTACACTGCACCCATGTATCAATTCATTTGTTATGGTTTAAATATGAAGTGTCTCCCACAGGCTCCTATGTTAAATGTTTGATTCTCAGCTAGTGGTACTATTTTGGGAGATTTTGGAAACTTGAGTTGAGACCTAGTTGGAGGAAAAAGTTCACTGGGCACTGCTTTTAAAGATGGTTATCTGGTCTACTTCACCTTCTGCTTCCTGTCCACCATGAGCTGGAGAAGCTCCTATGCCACACACTCCTGTTGCCATGATGCTGCTAATACCATAGGGCCAGGCAACCGTGGACTGAACCCTCTGAAACTGTGAGCTCTCCCAAATCCTTCCTTTCTTAAGTTGTTTCTGCCAGGTATTTGGTCACAGCTACATTAATGTAAATGACCACACTCATCCCTTTAAAGCATTTAATGAGCAGTAACTAAGTACTGCACACTGTGGTATGTACTCAGGATTCAGCAGTAATTGAGAAAGACATGATGCTTGCCCCTTTCATAAGCATTTGTATAGTCTTTTCATATGTTAATTGTTCTATGTATTTTTTCTTTCATTTTTTTTTTTTTTGTTTTCCACAATGCATACTAGGCAAACACTCTATTGCTGAGCTACCTCCCTAACCCTCTTTTTACTTTTTAAGACATGAGCTCATTAAATTTTCCAGGTTGGCCTTGAACTTGTGATTCTCCTGATTTAGCTATGTAAGTGGCTGGGATAACAGCCCGCACATCAAGCCTGGCTAGCTTCAAGATTCTTTGTTTTTGTTCTGTTTTTGAGACAGGGTCTCCCTGTAGCTCCAGCTGCCCTGGAACTCCATATGTAAATCAGGCTAGCCTTGACCTCACAGAGATCCTCCGTCCTCTGCCTCCAGAGTGCTAGGACTAAAGACATGTACCACCATGCCTAGCCCCATCTTCAAGACTATTAAAGCCTAAAGCATTCTTTCTGAAAGGTTCCTATGACATATAATTATTTATCCAAGAAGTACATTCTAGTCCCTTATTGGGGACGTTAATTTACACTTTAAAGGATAAATACAAATGTTTCGACAAAACCAATAAAAGGACATCTAATGCTACAAATCCCCAGAGTCTCTGCCTTTAAGTTCTTGGTCAGCACATAATAAATAGCAGGACATTAGCACTGCGGCTCAGGATAACACTGTGAAAAATGTATGTGGATCTTGACCCAACTTCCAAGCATTGCCTTTGGGAGGCAAAGTTGTGAAGACTTGATCTCATGATTGAGATCAGTGCCCTTGTAAGAGATCCCAGAGAGCTAATGAGCATTTTGTGCCTATGAAGTTACACTGAGATGGTAGTCAGTGAGGAAATAGACCCTTGCCAGACCCTGAACTGTGAATTTCCTAGCTTCCAGATGCTTGAGAAATAAAGCGCTTTGCTTATAAGGCAACCACATCAAAGCATCTCATTCATGTATTTCGTCTCTTTAATGTTTGCATGCATGTTTTATTTAGAATATTTAAGGTAGAAAATCTGATGCATGCTCTTCTATACTTGTCAATACAACTCGACCGTATTAATTCAGGGTTTTGCTCTCGTTAGAAATTCTTTCAGAAGTAGTGTTCCTCTCTCATTCAAGAGCTCTGCTTCATTTTCTTTCTAGAACTCACTACATTGGGCAGACATGTTGGCTACATCGTTTGCTGCTTCAGAATCAAAGCAGGGATTTTGGTCTTTCTTCACACACTCTTAGACCTGTCCTGGGTCCAGGTGAATAAACCGATGCAACTGGAAGCAAAAGAAATACTAGGGAAGATCAAGATTCTGGGTCTAATAATTCATGTTTGTTACCACTTAATTGCAGGGCGGACACCCATCCTAAGGCATCATTTTCTACAACTTTGTTAAACATAGGCTCCCCAGGTCCTAATTCTATATTGGCAGAGTAGATGTGGGTGGGAAAAAGAATAGACAAGGTTAGATTAAAGGCGTTGTTACTGGCGAAGGTCAGAAAGAAAGTGGAAAAGTTTCAGCGACTAGAAGAGATGAATTCTGACAAGCGGTTTTTAAAGAACACCCTCAGAGGAAGCGGGGCGCTGAGCCCTCTGAGGCCCCCTGCTGTCCTAGCAGTTCCTCCAGGAGGGGCCAAGGCCGAGATCTCTTGGGTCTAGGAAAAAACTAAAACCAAAAAAATCTATGGAAGAAAATTCTCCCTGGGAGAGGCGCTGAAGTGGCTGAGGCCATGTGGGGCGGCTATGTCCCTGGAAAGGTGGATCCACCGAGAGAGGGAGGGAAAGCAATGGACTGCAGGAAGGGGGCAGGCTTCTTCCGCCTTTGCAGTTTTGTCTCCTTTTCCAGAAAACCACCATCCCGCAGTGACTTTGTCGGGGCCAGATTAAGCATACATGCGGCCCACAACAAATGAGAAATTCTGTACAGAGAACGACGATTCTTTCTCCACCTGATCGACATCCTTCTCAAAGAGTTGATCCTGATGTTGTAGAATATTCCTGTCTAGGGCCCACGGTCCTCCAGCGTCACCTGCAGGCTCCACGGGCGGGCGCCAGCACTCCCACATCTGCGAACCAAACGAGAGCACCGTCTGCCCTCGCTGTCCCAGCGTCACTAGGAATATAGTGCATCCTTGCAAAACTTATTAACATTGCAGGCTGGGTTTGGAACTAGAACTTTCCAGGGCGAGGCTTTGAAATAGGTCCCGCCCTTCCCCGAGTGAGAATTGGCTGTATCCAGGCCACAGGGAGCCGCGCCCGGTCCTGGTTCTTAAGCCACACCTACGCCGCTTCCGGCATAGCCAGGGACAGCCTTGAATCAGCAGCGTCCCCTCCAGCGCCCCACGCAGGCGCGCTGAGGCCAGGGCGTGGTGGGCCGCGTGGCGGGGGGCGTGGCCTTGGCCTAGTGGGCCCAGCCCCGGTGCGCCATGGGGGCGTGGCCTTGGCGGGGCGGGCAGGACAGGGCAGAGGCGTGGCGGTCCCAGCTGGGCTGGGCAGGGCGGGGCTGCTCTGGGCTTTTGCGTCCGTCTCCCGGAGCGTAGAGAGCATTGCCCCGCTGGACCGTCGGCGTGTGCGTCTGCCCTGCCCTCGTCTGCTGCCCGCGCTCCTCCGCCGTCAGGTGAGTGGCCGAGCTGGGCAGCGGCTCTTCCGCTGGGCGCGAATAGCGCTGGGCTGAGAGCTCATTCCGTTGCGGCGGGACGGGCGGGGCGGGCGGGGCTCTGGTGCACGCAGCTCTGACATCTCCCCCTTCTCCCCGCAGACCCCGCGACGCTCGCGATCCACAGCGCCATGGCTCAGGTAAGCCGCGCGCCGAAGACCTGGGCAGTGGGAGAGCCGGAGCTGCCTTTTCCCTACCCGGAGCTGGTTTCCGTGCTTCCTCGTTACCCACCCTCCCATAGGCCCCTCCGTGTCCTTTTGATGCCCCCCCCCGTGTCCCATCCCGTGTCCCATCCTGTGTCCCCCTCCCATGCCCCCTCTCGTGTCCCCCTCCCGTTCCCCCTCCGGTGTCCCATCCCGGGTCGCCCTCCCATGCCGCCTCCGTGCCCCTCTGGGAATCTCCAGAACCTGCGGGTGAGCTGTTCTCTCTGGTGCATGTGAACCAGGCCGCCCCCAAATCCAGAGTCCCAAAATTAGAACCAGAGCAGGAACAACTCTCTTGATCACGTGAGGCAAACGCCCATTTGGCTTCCCTTATTTTTAATTTTTCCCGCAGTTTCCTGTATTTGAACCCTGGGTGTGCTTGGGCGAGTTCCATGGAGCTTCAGGGGAGCTTTTTTCAGTGCTCAGTCCAGTTTTACTTAACAAGAACCAACTGTTCTTTGCCAGCCCTGATTTTATTTTCTTTGTTTTGCATGCTAAAGATACTAAACCAAAACGAAGAACTGTTTTTCTAAAGTAATGAACTCTTTGAAAGAGTTCTGAATTGAATTTGCTTTAGGACTCTTTCAGAAGTTGATTACCTAACATTATCTATCATCTATCGATCGATCGATCGATCTATCTATCATCTATCCATCTATCATCTATCTTACTATATTTAATCTCTTACTATTTGTAAAGAGTGTAGTAAAGAAAAAAAAAAGCTAGTTTGTATAGTAAATTTTGGAAGTTGATCATGCAAATAAGTTACTCTTTAACAGTTCCATCCAGCCCTTGGGAGGTGGAGGCAGGAGCCTCAAGAGTTCAAGATCATCTTTGGATAGTGAGTTCAAGGCCAGCCTGAGCCTGAGCTACAAGTGACTGTATCAGAAAAACAAGACAACCAATGACAACCCCACAACTAATTTCACAAACCTTGTCAGCGTCTAGATAATCTTTTAAACAAGTGTTATAGCCTGCTCAAACAGAGGTTTCTCTCATGTGTAGTTCAGTTAAAAAATCAGATTGATTTAGCACAACTGAATAAGGTTTCATGGTCTCTTTAAGAGAAAATGGGAGGATTAAGATGATTTGGTGACTTTATTAAGTTTATACAGTGCAACCAGTCTTCCTCTTTTGCACTTAAGCAGTTCTTCTTATTACCTCAAGGGGAAGGTTCTTTCCCAATAGAAAGGATAAATTTTTGTGGGATTAATTTTTCTTCTCTGAGGAGTATCTTTCCTGTCTTTATATGCTGGTGTGGTAATGTATAGCAAGTATCACAGAACAGTTCCCTTTGTCCTTAACCATTTAGTTTTTTCTCCAATTTCTTATAAGTTTACAGTGATAGCTGAAGTTTGTTATCATTTATTGGAATAAGGTCTCTAAGTGTAGCCTAGGCTGGTCTGGAATTTGCCATTGTGGCTAGGCTGACCTTCAGCTCTCAGAGATCCTCCTGCCTCAGCTTCCCAAATGTTGGGATTACAAACATGTGCCAACACCCCCAATTTGAAGTTTTTCAATCAATTCTTTGACAGTGTATAGACTCTTTATCCAAGACAGAACAAATGAGCACATTTTCCAGTGGTGGACATTACTGTAAATAACTTCACAGAATGATAATGGTGTAGAGACCTTTATATGTACATAAGCAAAGCTTAGGAGAATGGTGGCTGGATGTGTGTTACATACTTGATCTGTGCTGCCATGTGATTCCAACATAGTTTTCTCTCAAAGCCGGATTTAGTCAGCATAAAAGTTGCAAGTGGGAACTGAGGAGATGTCTCAGGGGTTAAGAGCAAGTGCTGCTCTTACAGTAGACCTGAATTGGGTTTCCAGAATCCCCGTGGGCAGCTCACAACTGCCTATAACTCCAGCTCCAGGGAATCTGTTACCTCCAGCTTTCAAGGACAACTGCCTTCCTGTGCACATAGCCCCATATAGACACACATGCATACACATAATTGAAAATAAAAATATTGCTGGATGTGGTGCCACATGTCTTTAATCCCAGAACAATAGGCAGAGGCAGGTGGATTTTTGAGTTCAAGGCTAGTCTAGCCAGTGAGCTCCTACAGTAAGTTCCTGTTTTAAAAACAAACGAGTTACAAGTTAGTACTTAAAAAAGATTATAATTGTGTTGTTGTAGCTTTGCTGATAATCTATGGAAGCCCCAGAGGTAAAACATTTTGGTAAAATACTTAAAATCAAAATAGAGTTTTATTATCTTACAGCCCACATTATGTAACTGTACTGTAAAATTTGGCGGGGGCGGGGTGGGGGGGAAGACCAGGTTTCACATAGCTCAGTGTGGCCTTGAACTCACTATGTAGCTGAGAATGACTTTGAACTCCTGATTCTCCTGCCACTTACTACCTCCCAAATGTTGGCATTGTAGGTGTGAGCCACCATGCTTGGCTGTAACTGCTCTTATGCTGTCTCATGTTTGCTTTGGACTCTAGTGTCATTACAGGACAGCTGTAGGGTTTCACAGAGTTTCTGTGGAAGGACCTATGGGGATAGCAACCAGAGACTTGGATTCCGTGACATCTAGAGAGTAATGGAATGAGATACCTATGCATGCTTCAGCAATTAAAAATGTATGATTTAAATGTGAATGCCTCTTGCCTCCTGAAAATTTAAAATATAGTGCCCTAGCAATAATCAGATACATACAGACTAAAGATGCATGAGCCAACGTCTCAGTGTTATTAGCAAAAACAATGAGTCTTTCTGTAAGAAACAGTATATTTTAAAATGAAATGGAGATCTTTTTTAAAGGTTAAAAACTCATTCAATTTTATGTTTTACAGGGCTTATACTGAGTTCAATATTATATAACTGTTAATTCAACAGCAAACCTAAAAATTTTTTAGCCACTTTTGAAAGAGATGTTTTGTTGCACTGGAAACTGTTATTGAGTATGTTAAAGCTGTAATGAAATGCTTCTTCTAAAAAAAAATAAATAAGTAAATTAAAAAAATATAGTGCCCTACCACAGTAGTTCATTTTATAAACTGTTTTTTAATCATATTTATATCTTCTATATCAACAATTTATTCTTTTTTAATGAATATTTTATTGAATTTTTGTGCATTTCATACAGAACTTAAAAAAAATTTTTTTAAATGTGTGTGAGTGTATGTCCTGCATGTAGTGTGTGTACCTATGAGGGGACAAATTCCCTGAAACTGGAGTTAAAGTTGTTGGTTGTTAGCTGCCAAGTAGGTGCTGGGGATCGAATCTGGGTCCTCTGCAAGAGCAGTCAGTGCTCTTAACTGCTGAGCCATCTCTTCAGTACCATATGCTAGATCTTAATCATAGTTAGACCTGTCCCCTGTCTGTACCCTCCCTATAGCCCACCCCCAGAATTTCATGCATTCTGTCATATATGTTAAGGGCTACTGAGTCAGTTTTGTGTACCCAGGTGTCCCTTGGTATAAGTTTATCCACTGGAACCTGGTCAGCCTATCTAGCATCACTCCCTTTACCTGTGTTGGGATACAAAAGTCCAGAAACCAGGTGTTTAGACTGTGAGCATGGTCACCTTGCTAAGAATTTAACTGCAAGAACTGATTAATCTCTAGTAGATAGCTTGACCTTTCCATTCCAACCCCTCCTTTTCTTCCTCTTCTACCTTTCCCTTTCCCCTCCTTCTTTTTCTTCCCCTCCACCCCTTCTTTTCTTCTCTTCCCTCGTGCATATTGATGTATTTTTAGTCAATTCATTTATTCATACATGTATGACCTCACCTCTTTTATCTTCCACTCATACCAACCCCACCCTCTCTACAAGTCCTTTTCCCACATTCATGTCCTTTTGTCTGTTTATGGCCCAACAATTTTAAGAGTTTAACTGGGGTCTTCAATGTGGCCTTGGGTTTGGAACTGCCCATAGGAGCCTGTGTGGCTCACCAGTGTATTTTTTCTATTAAGTTTTACCTTAATCATGTCAGCGTAAATAATAAAGCTGTAGCAAAAAACAATACTGAGAACGGTGTAATTTATATCATCCTGTTGTGCAGATACACTGTGTAAATTTGGATACAAGCTTAATTTTTTAAGAATGTACAAAGTAACCAGGTGCGGTGAAATATGTCTTTAATCCTGGCACTTAGGAGTCATGGGCAGGTTGATCCCTGTGAGTTCAAGGCTAGCCTTGTCTTTGTCTTTCGACAATGAGATCCTTTCTACAAAACAAAACAAAAAACAGTCCCCCCAAAACAAAGAGCATTAAAGCTGCATTACTATCTTAGTAATCTTTCTTCAGTTAGATGTAACATATATTTGGTTGGAATTTTTTCTTTTTTTGAGACAAGGTCTCATTATGTAGCCCTGACTGGCTATGTAAACCAGACTGGCCTTGAACAGACTCACGTGCTTCTGTGTCCTGAGTGCTAGGATTAAAGACCTGCACCATTATACCTAGCATTTGGGTCATTTGGGTTGAATTTTAAAACTGAATTCTGAGCTTTTTTTTTTTTTTTAGTTTCTAAAATTTTTTTTTGCTAGCTTTGCATTTTACCCTCTAGCTACAGCTAAATTAATAGCTATTCTAATTTACGTTAAGTACTTAAATGTTCTTGGACTTGTTTTCTTTGGTTTGGAAAGAATTAAGAGTTAGATGAATGAACTGTTTTGTATATTTTAGTTCCATTTAAACATTTCATTTTCAGGTAATCAAGTTTTAATGATTTGATTTTGAGCAATCTGAACTTAATTTTATTATTTTTTTTTACTCCTGAAGAGTTAATCGATTCACGGCAGCAGGAATGTTATAAAGGCAAAACTAGGTTGTATAAAAGTTCAACAGAAACTTCAAGAACATCACTTACCTTCTTGGTCTGTATTTAAACTGAACAAGGGTTGATTGGAAAATTTTGGGGTTGGTTTAGAACTGTTTGGCTATAATGATAATTTACAAAGCTGCTGTACCCAGCAGGCAGGATCAGTGTAAGCAAGTGAATTTGCCATGAGCTTATTATTGTGGAACTTCTGGTCCTGACTCACTTTCAAGGTCAGATCTCTATAGCTAATGTTGGGATCTGAGATCAAGGTTGCCTGTATCCATGGTCTCTGCTGCTCTGGCTCAGTCTGTTACAATTACTGATCCCTTTGACTGGCTTCATTTGGATGTTGAGAAAGCCACTTGATTGCTTTGCAGGCCAAAGTGCCTGTGATACATTTTGGAAATATGTATTAGTATTTCTGTTTCAAAGAGGACTATGAGGTGGCTTAGCTTGGAATTAGCTGTACGGGATAAAGGAGGGAAGGCAGTGAGAGCAAATGGTTAAGGAGTGTCAGAGTTTAGTAGGCACTGCAGGAGTGACTTCAGTAAAGGGAGGCGAATGGCACCCTCTCTTGGAAAGAGATACCAAATAGGTAGCTAGCAGGACCAGAACTGAGTAATAGGAATTGTTTTCTAGGTGATGGAGTTAAGGTGTCATGGAGTTGTTAAGGTACCCAGGTGATGGAGTTGTTAAGGTGTCATGGAGTTGTTAACTCTAGGTGATGGAGTTGTTAAGGTGTCATAAGTTGCTAAGGTGTCATAACTCTAGGTGATGGAGTTGTTAAGGTGTCATGGAGTTGTTAGGTACCCAGACCAGATTTGTGTTTAAGGAAATGGCAGTATGGTGACTGCACTTCTCGGTATTGTAGAAGGAGGGAGAGCAGTGCCTCTTCCTGACTTTCAAATAAACTGCTGTCCCCCATGGAGTTATCTTTGTCGGTGGTCTTTGCTGCACCCTTCCATGTACCTGACAGATTCTCTCCACTTCATGGAGGCTGAAGTTGCTGTACACATCAGTAAAGGTGGTGCTGCCCTCACCGTGGGCAACTACTAAGAGCTGTGTAACTTGGACTTGTTTTCTGATGTTTACCAATGGAAAGCATTCTTCACTGGCAGGGAAGATTAAAACAAAAAACAAAAAACGAAAAAACAGGACTTTAAAGAACTATATACCAAAGATTTTTTTTTTCTTCTGGTACTGGGGCTAGAACTCAGGGCATGATTACGCTGTGTTGACTTCTCCATTTTTTCTTGCTCATCTCATTTTTTTTTCTTAATACAGTGATTAGTTTTTGTTTTTTGTTTATTATCAGTAGGGTTGTATTATCACAGGAAGTATTGGTAGGTCTTTGTTATGCTCACCTGCTCTCATTGGGAGGGGAGGCAGAATTCCCTGTCTTCTTGTCTCCCCACTTTTCCATCAACTGCCCAAGGTTTTTAGAAACCTGAGTCTGAAGAATGCTACTTAGAAACCACTGGGTAGCTGCGTGGCAGTAGCTCCTTTCTGATAATCTGTTTCTGGAGTCCCACCTGCCTCCTCATTAGCATAGTGTGGAGGTTGTGGGTGATTAAATGGTGAACACAGAACAGGAAGACACAGGAAGCCTCTGCTGCCTGGGCTTTCACAAAAGCATTCTTTAAAATGTTCCAGACAAGTGAATATTTCTCATCTTTAAACTTGATATTGTTGTTTATTTTTCTCTTGTGTCTTTAAGTCCTGTGTCCAGAAAAGTAGCCTTTGTTTGATTTTTGGCTAATTGTATTCTATTTTAGCACAGTTAGCCTTTGAGACTAAACCACTTTTTATTCTAGAGGATTAAAAAAACCAACAAAATTATTGTAGAGCTAAAGAGTAGATATTTTTGAAGATGAGAGTTAAACAGTAAGTTATGCCGGGTGTGGTGGCACACGCCTTTAATCCCAGCAGAGGCAGGCGGAACTCTGTGAGTTCAAGGCCTGCCTGGTCTACATATATAGTATATATATATATATATATAGTTTGTACAGGTATTGTCTAAGCAGGTGTAATAATTTCCTTGGTAGGGCATTGGTGGTAAAAGATAAAGAGAACTGAGGGTAAGCAGGCTAGGAAAGTGAATAGAATCTGCTTCAGATGGAGCTAACCTGGGCAGAGTGTGGGGACTTCAGGAAATGGGGTCTTTGGATGACTCACTCAGAGTCACATTGCATTTTGTGTGGGCAGTGAGGGGCAGGCTGATCCTAGACCAGGGTTCTGCCTGCATGACTCAATCTGTGACTCACATCTGGCCCCTTAGCACTGCTATGTGGTCTTGCTCACCCTTTGGCAATGACTCTGTAGCAAAAATGTCTCACAATTTCTAGAAAGCTCTTACATGACCAGCAGTTATTTCTTTGTCTTAGCTAACAGCTGAAATTGTTATGGAAACTTTTTTCTTTATACTGCTCATGACATTTTCCAGTCCCTAGGGTCAGATCCTTTTTCACTTTAAGACAATCCCTCTCTTTTCTTTTAACCTTGCCCGTGTTTAACCTTCTGTCTGTGTCTACTTGCAATTTCTTCATAACCTACCAATCATATCAGGCTTTCTTTCTAAAATGTATTTTACAAATCTTATTTTTATATACTGTTTGTCAGGTGTGATTTCCCTGAGGCAATCTGCCTCTCATTCACTCTTCAGTGACCTATAGTCTGATTTGTCTGCCCCAGGGGCCTAGATCTGCAATACCATTATGCCCTTTCCCACTGGGCAACCCTGTGGCCTCTCTAGCTTCTGTTCCTGGTGAAACCTCTTCCCTCTGTCTTCTTGCCCTGAGAAGCAGCTCAGTGTCACAGTTAAGGATTCCTTGACTTAAATCCTAACTCTGCTGCTTGCTTGCTTGATGGTCATGTGAGTAATTTGCTAAACTGTTCTAAGCTGGTGTTGTTATTTGTAACAAGGAGTTTCAGTGAGTTGAACTACAAGACACCACCAGCACAGTGCCTGGCTCGTTGTTGTACTCGATAGTGGCTGCCTTTCTGAGGTCACATTCCTTTCCCTTCGATACCCCTTCTTCCCATCCTGTTAAGGGGGTCTCATGCGGCACCTTCCTCCTGTAGCCTGGCCACCGCCTGTGTGAACTTGTCACTCACAACTGCTCTTCTTCCCATGTGCTTGCTATGGACAATTGCATATCAGCTATCCAATTTCCCATCCCAAAGCAGCAGCGTCTTAAAAGTTCCTTACTGCTTCTCTCCCTCTCCCTGTGGCTTGCATTTGATCTGCTCCTTCTAACCTTTTCTGTTAATCTGCTGGTCCTTCTGGCTTCCTTCTGTTGCACAGTTGGCCCCATTGTCTCCATTGCTGCCAGTCACATTGTTGTACAGAGCTGACATTGTCCAAGTCAGGTGCTTCCTGTTGCCTATAGGATCAGGTCTGTGATTTTTGTATGGCAGTTGTAGACCTTCCTCTTGTTGAATTTTCCTATACAAGATGATGCTTTCTCCAGTCCACTGACCACCTAATCCTTTACTCCCAGTAACAGATCATTTCCATTCTTTCATACATGATGAGAATTGACTCTATAGGTGCCTACTTTTATGATCTTGGCTGGCAAGTTCACGGGCAATTTTCAAGGCTATCTTGGGATATCTTCCCTCCCCCCAGTTTCTTTTCTTCCCACTCTGGCCTTCTCCCTCCCACCCATTCTCCAGCTTATGTGCTCATGTGACCCTGAACAAGCCTCAGTTTGGACCTGCTCTTCTGCACTCAGTTCTTCCTCTGTCACTTCTCTACTTTAGGAATCAGGAGAGAATATTATGAAGTACTTCGTGTGATAATGTGAAATGTAATGGCTTATAAAGAGTATCTTCCAATGTAATTGTCTGGCATACAAATTACGAGATATTTCCAAAACTTGCTGAATCATTTCAGATTCCTAAGTTTCAAGAACAGGACTCGGAATGAAAGCTATATGGACTAAGAACTGTTTCCAGCCTAGTGCTTAGGGTGAAGCATCACGTTTTAATGCAGACTCAATGTCCTTCTAAATTGAAGTTGGAAACACTTTGTTGGGAAGAAGCTGGCAGGGCTCTGTGCCTGTGTGAGACAGGAGGGCTTTGTGGGGCATGATCACAGTGGAGAGATGGGGGAGCCATCCTCCCATGGTGTCATTGTGGTGGGTCAGGTTGTCTCATCCTGTGGACTGGCCCTACTATTCCACCTGTATTGATCACTTCCCCTTTCTAGTGGGTCACAGATCTTACCAGATGGTAAATTTATTTAGAGTCCAAATATGTTGTGGAGCAAAGACTAATGGTGTAATTTGCTTTCTGACATTGGTCACAGTGTGAGTTATGCTGTGCTTTCTTTCTCAGGCTCTCAGAGGCACCGTGATTGACTTCCCTGGATTTGATGACCGGGCTGATGCAGAAACTCTTCGGAAGGCCATGAAAGGCCTAGGTAAATTAAACCCTTTTATTCTAAAAGAAAAAAAAATTTCCAAATCATCATTGATTACAGTGAGATTGTTAGAATATTTTGATCTGAAATTTATAAGAGAAAAGATAAATTCAGATAACAAAATAATACTGTAGACATCTCAAAGAGCCAGTCTCTAGAACAAGTGAACTCAGCTCCGTGCTCTGGAGGTTGTTAGCCTTTTGTGCAGGAGCTTTGTGGTCAGTCTGCCTTGTGTTCACTTCTGCTTGTAGTCTCTTACAGAGATTGTTCTTTCTCTAGTGTCTTTCCTAGGCAGTTGCCAACTTCTCGAGGATTTCTCTGTATAGATGACTTCTCTACACTCAGGTTCCTTCTACACCAGTGTTCTTATTCTTAGCCTTGAAGAGTTGCCTGTAACATCCCTGGCCACCTTTACAGACTCATCTCCCATCGCTATGTGATATGTTCTCTGATCAATCATGCCAGGTTGTCTGCTCTCCATAGAAGCTGTGTATTTTCCTAGTCCACACGTTTTCCCCTTATTCTGAGAGCCTGGGCTTCCTTATATGGCTGCCTTGTTTGAAAACAAGCCTTTATCTGTCAAGACAGTGTTAGTTGTTTTCTTCTCCAGGGAACTTCCCCCAAACTCATTTCTGCCTCCTGTCAGCCAGGAGATCCTCCTTTGTGAATTTTATATTTTCTACTTTAAATTAACTGGAAACCAGGGACTTTTTCTTTTTCTTCTCTCAGTTCCCCATAATGCCCAGCTCATTGTGCTTTGTGAATAGCTGTTATTGGAGTAATTATGTACAACTATGTATGAAAGGTTAAGTACACTGAGATTTTAAAAAGCCAGGAGTGTTTTTCCATCTCTTTAAATCTTATTGAGAATAAGAGGTAGTATATATTGGAAATACAATGATTTATATATTATCAATTTTACATTTTATTTAATATAACATATAAGCTGTTTTATATTACCATAGAGAGAGGCAAGAGCACAAAGTACATTAATTGGAAAAACTGTTGAGGTAATGGACATGTAAGAGCACCAGCTATCATTGCTAACCATCAATTATAGGTACGGATGAGGAGAGCATCCTGACCCTGCTGACATCTCGAAGCAACGCTCAGCGCCAGGAAATTGCCGAGGCTTTTAAAACTCTGTTTGGCAGGGTAAGACCATAGCTTACCCAAGGTGGGATGTGATAGCAGCTGTGAATTTAAGAGTTTGAGAAATAAAATCATCTCCCAATATCTGTATGGAATTTTTTGCAGACTCCTCCCCAAGTATCCTGAATTCTTGATTCTCAAGTCTTTCACAAAATGGCACAGTGTTTGCATGTGACCTAACTTTCTCCTCTCAATAACTAGAAGACCAAGAGGTGACTAACAGAATGTACATGCTATACAAGCAGCTGTTACATCACAGTGTTCAGAGGATAGCACGAAAAATTTATCCTCACATAATTGTTTTCCCTTGCTTGACACTTTCGAGGTGTTAGAGTTCCATGTCTCCCAGGTTTTCTGAACTCTGTACTTCCCACTCAGTGTGTCTCATTATCCATTTTGTTGGTGTAAGCCTGTACTGCAATACCCTTTGTTAAGGCAGTCATGGTCTTGGTTCCTTTTATAGTGATTTTGATAAAATACTTGATTCAAGTTCTTATTTGATTACTAATTCAAAGCAAAATTTTAAATCCCTTACTGAATGAATTAGAGCATATATGAAAAACCTTAATGTAGTTCTGTTATTTGCTATTTATATTTGCCATTTCATTGAAAAACAAATGTGGAGCAAAACCAGAAAGTGTTGAAACCCAGGGCCCTGTGCATGCTAGACAATGGGCGCAGTCCACTGAACTACAGCCCATCCCACTATTAGGAAGTATCCGATCAGGATCTTGTTACCTGCTGTGCTAAAACTGAGCAGAGATAGGAAACACGGTTTTCCTTTCTTTATCATTATACTATACAAATCCCCACACCAAAGGTTCCCCTCAGCAGTGTTACGAGAGAATGAAAGAAAAAGGAAGGTATGGTTTAGACATGATGGATAAGTCTTCCTTCTTAAAAATACATTTATGACATTTGAGAAATCCCTCTCCCCCTTTTGTCATTTCCTTTTTCTTTCTGGGGAGCTGAGCTACATCCAAGCTCTTTGAGAGAATTATTATTACTGTACTTCTGTTGGGCTGGGTATGATGGTGCACACCTTTAATCCTAGGACTCAGGAGGCAGAGGCAGGCAGATTGCTATGAGATTGAGGCCAACCTGGGATACATAGTGAGTTCCAGTCTAGCTGTGGCTATATAGTGAAACCCTGTTTCAACAAACAAACCAATAAGCAGAAACAAAACAAAACAAAAAACAAAGCAAACAAAACACTACCTCTATTGTTCAGAATACATATTTTAACTACATTCAGTGTATTATTTTTTTGATGGGATTGAACCCAGGGCTTCATGCATATATAGTCTCAATCAAGTACTCTGCTACAGAGCTACATTGCCAGTTAACCTATTTGGTTTTGGTTTTCTCAGGAAGGATCTGGCTTTATAAAGCCAGGCATGGTTTTGGAGACCTGTAATCCCAGATACTTTAAAGGCTGAAGCAAGATTGCAAGTTCAAGTCTAGACTGGGTTACAGAATGAGTTCAAGACTAGCCTAGGCAGCTATCTGTCAAAAATTACAAGAAGGGCTGGGGATATAGCTTGGTTGTAGGACACTTGTCTGGACTGAGCCAGGCCCCTCCCTGGGTTCAAACCCTAGTAAAATATTAAAGATAAGGAATCACATGTTGCCAGGCGTGGTGGTGCACACCTTTAATCCCAGCACTTGGGAGGCAGAGGCAGGTGGACTGCTATGAGTTTGAGGCCAGCCTGGTCTCTATAATGAGTTCCAGGCCAGCTGAGGCTGGCTTCCTGCCTTAGCCCCTCATGTGCTGGGATTATAAGCATGTGTTACAGTGCTTATTAGCCTGCTCTGTAAAGGTATTCCATTATATTTTAATACCTTAAATTAAGAAAACTATCTTTAAATACTTTGGTAGATAAATGATGCTGTATAAGGTTTGGGGTAGATGTTGAAAGCACACCCTTCAGGCCTACTGAGTTTTGTGTAGTGTCTTCTATAGTACTTGGAGAAACAGTATGCAGAATTCAGTAGAGCAGAGGACAGCCTTTCTGTGTAACAAGACTTTGGTCACTGAGTTTGTGTTTTCTGAGGTAGGACCTTCTGGATGACCTGAAGTCAGAGCTGACTGGAAAGTTTGAGAAGTTAATTGTGGCACTGATGAAGCCCTCTCAACTCTATGATGCCTATGAACTGAAGCATGCTCTTAAGGTAAAAGGGTGCATGAAAGGGAACTTCCTGTCATTCATAGTGCTGCTTTATTTTGGTAATTGCTCTTTTATTTGAACTATTTCAGTGAGGGCTGCTTGGAAGACAGAACTATAGGAGGCAATAGGTAAAGGGGGAAGAAAATGGCAAGTGTGTCCTTCAATTTTCTTATATAGCTAAACTATAATATTGTCTATTTAAAATTGTAACATTTCTGGATTTTTACATTTTATTTTTATTGTCTTTAGGTTTTGAAAATGTTTCAGATGAAGTATTTTAACTTTTTAAATAGAAAGTTGGAATATCTGCTTAGATAGGGCCACGAAGTGGTTCATCCTTAGCAGGCTAGTTTTGAATGGGCAAACAGAACCAGCAGTTCAGGTAACCAGCCTAGCTCAGGATTCTCCTCACATAGCTGAAGAGCAAGAATTACGCAGTTGGGATCCTGTGTTTGCCGAGGCTCTGTGGTGGTTCTTTTGGAGTAAACAAGCTCTTGGGCATTGAGAAAAGGGCTTGTTAACAGAACACATCTCAAGTCAGCAGCAGTTTACTCTCCAAGAGGATGGACCTAGGTATTTTAGTGCCTGAGTTTGGGCAAAGAAACAGAACTAGAAAGAAAGCATGCTGTCTTCAAAAAACAAAAGAAACATAGGTCTAGCATATTGTTGCTTACGTGTTTCAGTGTAGTGGTGTAGACATAACTTTTTAAGTACGAAAAGGGAAACCAGCTAAAATTATTTTTTAGAAATCAAGAAAGCAGGTTTCTGTTCTTGTACATTGATCCAGTTCATAAAAACTAAGCAAAGTTGTATCAGTTGTTAGCTGTGTTATCTTTCTGTTCTAATGCCTGAGATGATCTACTTAAGGAGAAAAGGTTTATTCTGGCCCAGAGTTTTAGAGGTTCCAGCCCATGAGTGATCAGCCCCAAGCCTTTGGCCTATAGCCAGGATGCATGTCATGGTGGGAACATGTTGTAGAGCAAAACTGTTGGACCTTATACAGGAAGTCAAGGATAGGGAAGAGAAAACTGGCCCCCTACCATCCCCTTCATTTCCCCCAGTGACCTACGCCTCTCATTAGTCCCTACCCCCTAGAGGGTCTGCCACCTCCTAGGGGCACACTCTGGAACCAAACTTTTAACACCTGGGCTTTTAGGGGAATGACATTTGAAATCTCAACTACTTAAGATGCAGTTTCTCTGTGACCCTATGTAAACTTAACTTGAGAGCAGGGCTTTATTTTTTGAGGTAGATTATCAATGACACTCCATGTAGTTTTCAGTTTTTTAAAAATATTTTATTATTTTTATTTTATGTGTATGAGTGTATTGCCTACATGTATGTGAGTGCACCCGTGTTGTGTAATGCTGCGGAGGTCAGAAGAGGGCTTCAGATTCCCCTGGAACTGGAGTTAAGGATGGTTCGTAGCCACGATGTGGGTGCTGGGAATCAAACTCGGGTCCTCTGCAAGAGCAGTCACTGCTCTTAACCGCTAAGCCATCTCTCCAGCTCCCTAGTTTTTAGTTTTACTATTTCAGCCTTTTAATTACTTCACTTTTTATTAACTGATCAAGTTGCAAGTTATAAACTCATTTAACTTATATATGTAGATATAGAGTGCACACATATACACAGAACAGTAAATATTATTTTTCATTAGACAAAACAAAATAAAAAGTAAATAGAATAAAATTTCCCCTAGAGAGAAAATAGAGTAAAATTTCTTATCTGTGTAACAATGGAGCTTATGTACAAAGAAGTCCATGTTATGCTTGATATTTTTGTAATTATGTAATTTGGATAACATCCAGGAAAACAACTTTCTTTTTTTATCATATTGGCATGTTTTCTCTATTAAATATAATTCTTCAAACAGGGAGCTGGGACAGATGAAAAAGTATTGACTGAAATTATTGCGTCAAGGACACCTGAAGAACTAACAGCCATAAAACAAGTGTATGAAGAAGGTAAAACAGTTGGAATTTTGTTACCCTTTCTTTCTCTTAACACAAATGTAGTCTTGTATGGATACAAGTCAAGGTATTTTTCTTTTTTAGTAAAATAAAATAGCAACAACAAAAATAAGTGAACAAATGCCCTGTCCTTTTACCCCTAACTGTTTAGTAATTTATGAGATGCTGCTGAGGACGATGTGGCTTATGTTTACATAGGGTTTGCAGCCATTATAGGGATAGACAGGCTGTATTTCTTCTACAGTAACTTAAGTGGTTTTCCTTTAGTCAAATAAATTCAGTTTTACGTGAGAAGTTTAAGATCTATATAGAAGGTATTTTGGGGAACCTGGGAAGAGAGAATGAAACCCTTTTCCAGATTGGAGTTGAAACTTTTCAGTGAAAGTTTGTTATTTCAATTTCTGGAAGTGTTTGGTTAAAGGGCCCCCCATTTTGGCTGTTTTTATTAGTGTGCCTTACTTTTTTGTGAAAATGAAGTCTAGTTCATATTTCAATGTTGTGGATGGAATAATTCAAGTTCATGAAATGAAAGTAAAAGTAGAGTTCTGATCTTGTCAGGTTTCTCTGTCTGCTGACTCTAAGCTAGAGCCACTAGCCAACAAGTGTGATTTGCCATAGGATTAGTTTTGTTGACCCACCAGGTCAGAACACTGAAATTCAAAGGTTCTCTTTGCAGCTTCTCTTTGTAGTTAGGACCATCCCTGCCACCGTGACAGAGCTTGTCCCTGTGTCTCAGTATGGTAGTTTATTTGATGTAACATTCAGAGATATTTATTTGGGTATGTTCATGCTGAGGACTGAGCATCCATGCTGCAGTACTTGTACATGCTGTGTCCTGCTCACTGTTACCTCACTGTTAATGAGCATGGCTCTTTGTCCAATGCTATGCTGGCTGTCACAAGGAACATAGAAGATATGCACAGCTGTTGTTCTCAAGGAGGTTGCATGAAGCCTTGTACAACTGCAGGAGTTAAAGGATGGTAAAATAAAGTTATATGTGAAAAATACCAGTGCAAGATGAAGTAAGACTGGAGAGGGCATCATAGCTTTACGTGTTAGAGGCGGCTTCATGGTATAAGAGCCTGATTTCAGGAGTAGGTGACTTACTTAGTATCCATGGCAAAACTCTCTCTCTCTCTCTCTCTCTCTCTCAGCATTATTTATCCTTAAATATGGAACTTCTGATATTTGCAACAGTAGAGATTAACCTGAAAGGCAGTAGGTAGACCTCACTCAGGTGAAATCTAAAAGGCGAAGTTCATAAAGCAGAAAGTAGAATGGCGTCTGCCAGGGCTGGGCTGGAGGAGAGGAAGGAGGAAGAGTGAAAGAGAGAAGAAGATGGGGAGACAGTGGTCATTAGACGAACAAGTTCTGGAGGTCTAGTGTGTACCATGGTCACTATACTGTGTACTTGAAATTTTATAGGAACTAGTTCTTAAATGTTTTCACTATACACAGAAAATGACATAGCAGTGCCAGTTAGTTTATGGTAATTATTTCACAGTATGTGAAAACATGTTTTATGATTTAAATACATATGTATTTTATTTGCCCCTTGTAACTCAGTAAAACTGAGGGGTCAGGGCAAGATGGGTCTCAGTAGGTGAAGCTGCCCCGATCTTCAGTGGGCTGCAGAGAGGAGAGAACCCAGGGAACCAACAGAGCCTGACTATAGGAAGGACATGTATGTGTTCGTTATAGACCTAAACTGCACCAGTGAGGTTAGGCTAGGTAATCCAGTGGGTTTGCATGCCTGGATGATGAACTGGGGCGAGTCAAAGATGTAATGGGTGATGGAGTATTGCAGGAGTAGTTGAAGGAGATAGCTGTGCAGAGAGGCAGTGAGGAAGCCATGCAGTGATTATGAGACCACCGAGGTTGCTGAGCAGGGTGCAGAGTACAAATCAGTGAGGAGAAAATGTTTAATGGGATTTGATGTTGGAATAGAGGAAGGAAACAGATGCCTGCAAAGTCTTGTATTTGGGTAACTGGTTCTAATAAAGTAGAAACCACAGGCTTTTAAATGTTTCCTGCTTTCAAATAATGATTAATATTTAAGTCAACAATAACACTTTAAAATAGCAGCTGTTTGAGAGTTAGTGAAAGGGCGTGGGTCTCGATTCTCCCCTTCTGTGTGACCTCCTGTTGAGGAACTGGAAGCTTGTGATGATCATACTTAGAGGCTCCACGGTGCCATTCTCAGCCTGCAGAGTGCTGCTACATTGGGGAGAACGTTTATGAGTGGCTGTTGTAATTTAGGCTTAGGGGAGTGCTTTTGGGGGACTTCACTTTAACTCATTTTCATCTGGCCACTCAATGAATTTGCCTCCGTCTTTAGAACACACAGAGTAGAGAGAACTTGCATTAATCAGATACACTCTCTTCCATTATCTCTCTTCATTTGGTTTATGGGGCAGGATGACTTTTTCTAGTTGAAAGGAACTGTAAATAAGTGTGCACTAATTCTGTTGCAGAATATGGCTCCAGCCTGGAAGATGATGTGGTGGGGGATACCTCAGGGTACTACCAGAGGATGTTGGTTGTCCTCCTTCAGGTATTGGTGGGTGCTTAACATAGTGTGACGAATGAGTATAAGGTAGGACTGAGCTGACTGTATTAAGTAAGGCCATTTAAAGTTCTCTGACTAATTTCCGTATTTGCGGATCCCACTGTGGCTTCTGTGTGCTGCTTGTGTTTGTGCCTCAAAATGTCTGACCCAAACTCTGAATAGCTAACTCATCCTTTCGTTTCAGGAAGCCATGTGCATCCTCTTCTTTCATAGAATTTTGAATCAGGAGGGTCATAGTGACTTTAGACTCTGCTGTGTGATGTGTGTCACACTGTAAGGATGATGTGACCTTAGCATAGCAGAGTGTTCCCAGGAGAGAGAAATTTATAAGCACTGGCATCAGGTGGGTCTTCCATCTGAATGAGTGTTTGGTAGCTCAGTGTGGACATCGTCTCTTACAGGCAAACAGAGACCCTGATGCTGCAATTGATGAAGCTCAAGTTGAATTGGATGCTCAGGTGAGTAAAGACTGTTTTGTATGACTTTGTTATGACTTAGAAATGAAAAAGAGGGCTGCAGAAATGGCTCAGTGGTTAAGAACACTGGCTGTTCTTGCAGAGGACCCAGGTTCAGTTCCTAGCACCCACATGGTGACTAGCAACCATCTATAACTCCAGCTCCAGGGACTCTGTGGGTATTACATGACAGGGGTGCATTTAACATGCAGGCAAAACACACAGATGAAACAAACAACAACAGTCCCACCTAAAACTCCCTTACATACATTCAGGCAAAACACTTGTACATATAAAATAAGAAATAAATAAAATACTTTAAAAGAAGTAAAAAAGAATCCGTGGTAATGAAAAATCAGTGTTGTTATAAGAATTTTTAGAAAAGTGTATTTAGGGGCCACTTACAAACCATAAGACTCACATAGATAGATTTTTCTTATTTATTCAACAAAATATTTTATCACAAAGCTAAAATTAATTATATATTGTTAGTTGCTAGTTCCACATACATGTTCTTTTTATAATTATGGAACACTTGCAAAATGGAGACTGTTATAAAAAAGCCGTATGTTACCATTCCTCTGCCATGATGGGTCTCAAGTGGTATTTTTTTCTTTTTTTTTTTTTTTTAGACTAGGTCTTTTTTTTTTTTTTGAGACTAGGTCTCCCTGTGGCCCTAGCTGGCCTGAAACTCAATATGTAGACCAGGCAGGCCCAGAGATCTGTCTGCCTTTGCCTCCTGAGTGTTGGAACTAAAGGCATGTGCCACCTTGCTCAGTGGTGTTTTATTATAAAAGAAATGACAAGTAATTTTATTTTAGCATTAGGAAATTTCTCTGAATTTCTTTGATAGAGTTCTAAACAGTATGGCTGTTCTTTTGTCAGCTGCATTTTATCAACTCTCAAGTGAAATTGTCCACTTCAGAGACTTCTGAATCCCAGTGCAGTCTCACCATGGTTTATAAAACAATCATGTAGAAAGTAAGCATTAGGCGATCTGAAATATGAGAACTGAAACCTGGTACTAAAGTACTTACTGGGGTTCCTTACAGCTTACTTGGTACGACCTTGTCTTTGTACATGTTTGAGTTAAGAAGCTTACACTGTGAAAGGAAGCCAGTTAGCTACTGTGTATGTAACTACCAACAGTATGTGTTCTGACTTCGCTAAAGCAAAGAGGAGAACATCATACTCTTTTGGGTAGTTTATTTCTCTCTTCCCCCCTTTTACTTGATTTCTTAACAGTGTTTCACTCATGTTCATTCTGTCTTATAAATGCAGTGTTACTTTCCTGTCCAAGACCTTCAAACTTTCTGTGTTTTGCTGTCCTCCAGATAAAGTCCAGGCGCCTGATTGTGGTTCATAAACCCCCTCATGACCTGTCTTAGGCTCCCACCTCCCTCCCTCTCTAAAGCACTTTCCTTCTCCTTCTGCTCCTACCTCATCTCTTCCAAGGTCAGTCCTGGCTTAGTTGCTTCCTGGGTGGCTCTGCCTGAAACCCCAGGTGTGAGTCAGGTGGCCCTTACTGAGGCTTCCTGTCACTTCTTCCTGCCTTATACTGAAGCTGCCTGCCCACCTTTTCTGGGCACCATGTCAGGTCCGTTTTGTTTTAAGCCCCCAGTGTAAAAGCTGGCAGTCAGCCAGTACCTGATGGATGAGTTAGTGCTGAGAGTAAAGAGGCTGTTTCTTTTGCATGAGGAAACAAGCCCAGGCCCCAGCTGGGAGTAGTAGAGCTCATATTCGCAGTCGACTCCATAACCCTTTCTCTTCCACCAAACAAGCCTCTTGTTCAGTATTGGCTCCTCCTTTGATTTCATGTACCACATGAAGAGTTTATTGACTATAGGTTGGAAGCACAGATTCAGGTTGTCTTCACCTTCTTGTAGAGAAAGGGCAACCATAGCCTTCTCTGGTCACCTCTCCAGGTAGGGGTGTTGCCCAGTCTCAGATGACTGTGCTGCTTTCCAGATGTTGATTCCTCAGGGCTTTGGTGGGAGACAGTGTGGATCTCACATTCCTACTCTCAAGAGTGGGAATCTTTTCAGTGGTGGTGGTGTGGGAAGCCAACTGTAACCTTAGATGACACCGATGAGGCCTGTAGTAGGGTCCAGTGGGCAGACTTCCTGGCACAGTTGATGTCATGAACACTGTCAGGCTGAGGATGGAGGGAAGCAGCCCCTTGAACCTTCTCATTGATGTCTCTCAGTCTTTGCTGTGCAGTTCCTGGGCCTGTGTATCATCCAGGGACTGTGTTGAGCTTTGGGCTCCGACCCCACAGGTCTAGGTGGGACTACAGTCTGGTTTCTGATACTCTACCAGGGATGCTGATACTGCATCTGGGGGCATGTCACTCACCTATCATGTAGCAAATGTTCAGAACCCTGAAAATGAAACTTTGTATTTGTGAAGACGTGCCTTTAATCCTAGCACTCAGGACACAGAGACAGGCAGATCTCTGTGACATCCAGATCAGCCTGGTCTACATAGTGAGTTCCAGGCCAGCTGGGGTTACAGGGAGACCCTGTCATTTAAAAAAAAAAAAAAACCCGAAAGAAATCCTCATGGAATCCAGGCTTCCTCCTTTTCCTGTGATCAGGAGCAGTGAGTGAAAGCTACACTGGCTGTGAGTTCTTGATTGTTTAAAATATGTTATTATTAATTTAGCCTCTTGGGCATGGGAAGGAGTGCATCTATTTGTACCTTGTGGCGAGAGTGTCTGGGCTGTCTTCACTAGCAAGGACTTGTTCCTCAGTTGAGAGTAAGCTGCGATAGCTAAAGGACTCTTGCATAAGCGTTTGGATTTTCTTCTACTGATACCTGGCGCTGAAGGATTCTTGTTATCTTGGAAATCTGATAAACCACAGTGAGTCACTTGGGCACTGAACATTGTAGACTTTACTTTTTTGTTGTTATTTTTAATGTGTTGAACTCATTTTTACCTTTAAAATATTCTCTTTATTTCCCACAGAGATCCGCCTGTCTCTGCCTTCTGAGTGCTGGGATGAAAGAAGTTCATCACCATGCTCAGTTGTGTTTTTTTTTTTTAAAGATTTATTTTATTTTATGTTTATGAGCATTTTGCCTGCTTGTAAGTGCATGCAGTGCCTGAGGAGGCCAGGAAAGGGCATTGGATCCTCTGAAACTGGAGTTATAGTTGTTACCCACCGTGTGAGGCTGGAAACAGAACTGGGGTCCTCTGGAAGAACAGCCAGTGCTCTTAACTCCTCAGCCCAAAATTTTACCTTTTTAAAGTATCACATTGATTTAATATTTTGAGGTTGTTGAAAACTGATTTTTGTCTCCTTTCTTGGTGGATCCTTGCTTTGTGCCTTCTCTGAAGGGAGGGTTGAACTCTTAGAGGAAGGGGGAGGAAAAGAAGGGAATCCTGTTTGCTGAGCACAGAGATATATGCGTCTCATTTGTTTAAATTATTTATTTAATACCCATATAATTAGAAGAAGCGTTTCATGACAACAGCATTGACATATTCAATAACAATTTCCAGAGCTAAGATGCATCTGTTTCAAGCTTGGCTATAAATTTTTAGGTTTACAGTTGAATTAATACAGTTATACAGCATTGTACTCAGTATAAACCCTTTAAGACATAAAATTAAATGAGGTTTTAACCTTTAAAACATATCTCCATTTCATTATTAAAATACACAGTTTCATACAGAAAAATTAATTTTTTAATGCAATTGACACTAAGATGTTTGCACATGCGTTTCTTATCTCTATATATCAGATTATTACTAGTCACAGTCAGTTACTTTCTGAGCTCCTTAGCATCTGAGCATGGATATAAAGTCATCAAGTAGATTTCAATGATAATATTTTTCACATCTACTAATTATTAAGGAGCAAATTTTTATGCTTTGAAGAATTAATTAAAACAATTTTTTTTAATTTAATAACCCCATGATTAGAAGAATCATTTCATTACAGCTATAACATATTCAGTAACACACTCCAGAGCAAGGATACATCTCTTTCAAAAGTGGCTATAAATTTTTAGGTTCACAGTTGAATTAATACAGTTATATGGTACTGAACTCAGTATAAACCCTGTAAGATATAAAATTAAATGAGTTTTTACCCTTTAAAGAAGATCTCCATTTCAAGATATGCAGTTTCCTACATTTTTTAAATATTATTTTTTATATTTTTTAGAAGAAGCATATCATTACAGCTTTACCATGCCCAATAACAGTTTCCACAGCAAAGACACAGCTCCTTCAAAGTGGCTATAAAATTTCTAGGTTCGCTGTGGAATCAATAGTTATACAATATTGAACTCAGTATAAGTCCTATAAGACATAAAATTGAATGAGTTTTTAACCCTCAAAAGAGATCTCCATTTCGTTCTAAAATACAGTTTCTTACAGAAAGACTCTAACACTGACATGTTGGCGCATGCATCTCTAATCTTTATGTATCTGATTATTACTAGTCATAATTGTTTGCACTCCGATCCTTGGAGCCTGTGTATGCCTATAAAGTCATCGGGTAGATTTCAATGGTAATGTTCATCACCTCTACTAATTAACATGACATAAACTTTTATGCTTCTTCTTCAAATATAATACATTTTAAAAAATTTGTTGATTTTGTTTTCTGTGTGTATATCAAACAGAACATCTCAAACCATCTTATTCAACTACATACCCACTTCCTAGATGGCAACCCCCATAGTCTCCCTCCCTGCACTAGAGCCCTTATACTCTGTTATCCCTGTTACTGTCTGCTGTGTTGTTGGCACCCCTAGCCATTCCCTACTACTTGTCCATCTGGTGAATCTAGTCAGCCTATCTAGAGGTCTTTGTTTTAGGAGGGTCAGCTGTTCCTCATCTAGCAGCAATCAATTGTCAATATTCCTTTAGATAAGATTGGGGTCTGCTGTTCATTTTCCCAGTTCTATGCTGGGTTACTATCTGGGAGTCCCTTGGGCCACCCTGGCCAACAGCTCAATAGACGGTATCTCCTGTATGGCATTGTTGCTTG